AAAACAAACTTTTTTATTTTCTTCTGACAATAGCACCTCCTAAAGGAAGAAATGCATCTTGTTCTTGCATTGGAGGGTTCAGTTTGTAACCTAGGACTTGCTTGTCCTCAGTGCACAGAAATTAGATCAATCTGACACCATATATATATATATTTTAGAAATGATTTGGAAAATATTTGAACACCTTGTCTTAAAATATTTTATTCATCATGTTAAAATGAAACGTTCCATAATCAATTTTTTTTTCTTTTTTCAATTTTTCCAATTTTTCTGGGAAAAAACAAAAAGGCTTCAGGAAAAAAACGGGGGGGGGGACGTTTCCCCCCCCCCCCCGAATTTTTCCAGGCCTTCACATTCAGGGGACCGGATAGTAAGCGATGTGAAAGACTTCTGCCTAAGACCCTGGAGAGCCGCTGCCGGTCGGAATAGACAACAGTGCTCTTGATAGACTGAGGGTCTGATTCAGGATAAACAGTTTCATGTGGTCATGATTGCCCGAATCCCAGTCTAGACCAGTGAATTCCTCTGTACCCCCTAGCTGCTCTCCGGGGGGGGCTCGGGTCTTTCCTAGTCCTTGCTACGTGAGATCCTTGCACCAGTGGTGCCGGAGATTGAACCTGGGACCTTCTCCATGCGAAACAGGTGCTCGACCACTGAGCTACGGCACCTCCCCTTTCAAAGGCAGAAAACGTATAAGCCCCGCTTCACCCTTAGGAAGAACGTCTGAACGGCCTGTCTGCCCTCTGCTTAGTTTGAAAGCCTTCAGAGAGTCAGCAGCTCTACTGTCGAAACAAGTTGCCTAACTTTTGCCTAAGAAGATGCTTAAGGTGTTCTTCTGTTTAGGGGAACGAGACTATGGGCCGGCTATCGACCTCTGGGGCGCAGGCTGCATTATGGCCGAGATGTGGACCCGCAGCCCCATCATGCAGGGCAACACCGAGCAGCACCAGTTAACGCTCATCAGCCAGCTGTGCGGATCCATCTCTCCAGAGGTAGGTTTAACAAGGAGTGGGGTGGACTGCATGACCTTTTGGCCCCTTGTCCAGTTTTCGCTGTGGCCCAGTTCTTCAGGCCAGTTTGGTTGTAGTGGTTAAGTGCACGGACTCTAATCTGGGAGAACCGTGTTTGATTCCCCATGCTTCCCCATGCAGCTGCTGGTGTGACCTTGGGTCAGTCACAAGTTCTCTTAGAGCTGTTCTGTCAAGAGCAGTTCTGTCAAGAGCTCTCTCAGCCCCACCGACCTCACAGGGTGTCTGTTGCGGGGAGGGGAAGGGAAAAGAGTTTGTAAGCCACTCTGAGTGAAGGGCAGGGTATAAATCCAATCTCCCCCCCCCTTCCTCTTCTTCCTCTGCTGCTGTCAGGGATTAAATGACTTTGGAATGAAATCTTGCTACTGCCCCATTGAGGGGTGTCATTTGAGTTACTCGCCCCAAGTACTTGCTTAAAGGTAAAGATCTCCCTCGCTCGAAAGCCAGTCAAATCCAACTCTAGGGTTGCGGTGCTCATCTCCGTTTCAAAGCCGAAGAGCCAGCGCTGCCCGAAGACATTTCCGTGGTCACGTGGCCGGCAGGACTAAACACCAAGGCGCATGGAACGCTGTGACCTTCCCACCGAAGCGGTACCTATTTATCTACTTGCAATTTCTTGCTTTCGAACTGCTAGGTTGGCAGGAGCTGGAACTAGAGATGGGAGCTCACTCCGTCATGTGGCACACTCGGGTCTCGAACTGCTGAACTACCGACCTTCCACAGCCTGCAGTTCAGCGTCTTAACCACTTGAGCCACCGCAGCTCCTACTTGTTTAAGAACAGACATAAAAAGGCCCTGACCTGGATAGCCCAGCCCACCTTTAGGGGAGTCTGAACCTGGCGGCCCTGATTCTGATAACTTCCACTCACTGTATCCCTGGTATTCTGTCCCATGCTTGATAGCTCCCCCACTAGGTTTAGAGTCATGACCCAGCTTTTAGAAAGTTGTTAGCACCAGCCCTGACCTGGATAGCCCAGGCAAGCCCGATCTCATCAGATCTCTGAAGCTAAGCAGGGCCGACTCTGGCAAGCGCTTGGATGGGAGACCTCCTTGGCTGGGGGGCGGGGGCAGGCTTCATTCAGCCACCTCTCTGCATATCCTCCAGGCCCCCAGTAGGGGTCAGTCATCAGAGGTCGCCATGACTTCCAGGTGCACACATACATGCACGTGCGCAGAAAACCCCCCAAAACAAATAAAAAAATTAAACCTCAGTTAAATGATAAGGCAGAACCGGTGTGTGTCTCTCACAGCCTGATATTTCAAATGAGGAAATTCTGAGTGCTCGTCCTGACCGGGATAGCCCAGGCAAGCCTGCCATGTCAGATCTCGTAAGCTAAGCAGGGTTGACTCTGGCAAGTCCCTGGATGGGAGACCTCCTTGGAATACCAGAAGCGGGAGGCGGGGGCAGGCCCTGCTTCATTCAGCCACCTCTCTGCATATCCTCCAGGCCCCCAGTAGGGGTCAGTCATCAGAGGTCGCCATGACTTCCAGGGGCACGCGTGCACACGCAGACACAAGAAATAAAATAATTTCCACTTTTAAAAATCCAACTTAAGAGGATCGTGGAGAGAAAGCAGATCCCTGTGCATTGTGAGGGTGACTGACATAATTTTGTCAGGCGGAACCAGGCGCCCCCCCCCCCGACCTTTTTGAACCTGGGGGCACCTTTGGAATTCTGCCACAGGAGGTGGAGGCAGCCACAGATATGGCTGCCACACCTTACCTTCAAGCAAACAGTGAAGATCCTGGTGTTGTGGTGGCAGCCAGTGTTCCCTCTAAGCTGAGTTAGTGTGAGCTAGCTCACAGTTTTTTAGCCTCCGGCTCACACATTTTTCTCTTAGCTCAGGTAGGACGGCTCCAGAGCAAACTGATTTATGCAGCAGCCAAATCGCTCGCTCACAGCTTTAATGCCAGTCGCTCACAAAGTAGAATTTTTGCTCACAAGACTCCACAGCTTAGAGGGAACATTGGTGGCAGCTGCTGCCAGAACAATGCTTTAAAAAAATCTGCATTGCCAATCGAAAGCCTTGCTAGGCAAAAGCCCCACCCACTTTGTAAGAACGCTCAGTAGGCACCGGGAAAGGTATCTGCCTTTTGATCGACGTGCCTCTCCATTCCTCTCTCTGGGCTGAACACTTTTTCTGATAATTTCCTAGGTCTGGCCTAATGCAGACAAATATGAACTCTACCAGAAGCTGGAGTTGCCCAAATTGCAAAAGCGCAAAGTGAAGGATCGCCTGAGAGCCTACGTCAAGGATCAGTATGCCTTGGATCTGATAGACAAGCTGCTGGTTTTGGATCCTGCCCAAAGGATAGACAGTGACGACGCCCTGAATCACGACTTCTTCTGGTCTGACCCGATGCCTTCCGACCTCAAGAATATGCTGTCCACCCATAACCAATCCATGTTTGAGTACCTGGCTCCTCCCAGGAGAAGAGGCGGACACATGCCACAGCAGCCGGCCAATCAGGGCAGGAATCCAGCTGCCACCAACCAGACAGAGTTTGACAGAGTATTTTGACTGCTGATCGGGACAGAGAAAGAAGAGACCCAGATGTTCTGAAGTCCTCTGTGACCTTTATATCTTTTTTAAGTTTGTTTGTTGTTTTTTAAAAAAAAATCACTGGTTGCATTGGTTGCATACAGAGCCTTGCCCATCTGTGGGTGAAAATAAGAAACTCTAGCTTTGCTGTACTTGTCAATTTCCAGGGTATGGAAACAATTTTATTTAACTCTTATAGAGCAGAATACCTTTTGTAGCCCGAAGGTGTAGCGTTGCTAAGCAAGCTCTTTGTATCTTCTGGCCTGTCCCATCGTCGCCTAGAGTAAGCTGGGAGGGCCCCGGCATGCTCCGCTCTTTGGTGTTGTGGAATATGACCCTCCCAAGGATGGGAGTCGCAGTAGAGGCTGTCCTATTTTTGGCCAGAAAGCTCTGCCTATCTGGGAGGAAATTGGCAGGGTGTATAGGTAGGGTGTCATGACTTCTGAATTCTCCAGCCTTTGCTAAGAGAGGGAGTTCTTCCTGAACTGGCAGTGCTGGAATGGTGGCAGAGAAGATACAGACACACACACACACACACACCAGGATGTTTTGTTCTTTTGAGTTGCTGCAGGAATTGCATTTAATCCTCTTGGGGTCCTAATTTTTGACGTTGCAAATAGGTTTTGGTGTTTTTTTTTAATAGCTGAACAAAAACAGAAAGGGCTTTGTTTGGCTGACAGAATCTGCAGGCTGGAGCGCCCCCTCCAATAAAGAGCCCTCTCATGCATTGCTCTTAAGGCTTTAGCAAGCAACTGCCCACTTTTGTGTGGCGCACCCCCTCCCCCATCCCCAGGCATGTCTAAAATGCGGTTTCCCCTTTGGTGAAACTAGGAATCTTGAGCGTGAGAGTTGCCCATGTTGAACCTCATGTTCGTTGATTTTGCGCGCGTGTGTGTGTATATGTATATATGCACATATATATAGATCTCAATAAAAAAGTGCTTGTGCGATTATCATTAAGTGCATTTCCTTTTGTATCTCATGCAGTGCTTGAAAATGTCTTGATTTACCTGATTCCGGAGTCTGATTAACAGTCTGGTGCATTTATTTTTGATCAGGAGAGAAAGATGTATCTTTCCTCAGGGTTAAAGAGGAGAGCCTGTATGATTGTAGCCTCGAGAGGGGGTCCAGCAGTATTTGAACCACCAACATGTTGGTCCTGTGGCACCCACTGAAGGAGGGAGGCTTAAGAATGGAGCGGGTGCAGAGGAGAGCGACGAGGATGATCGGGGGCCTGGAGTCCAAGCCCTACGAGGAAAGGCTGAGGGGCTTGGGAATGTTCAGTCTGGAGAACAGGAGGTTGATGGGAGGGGCATGATTGCTCTCTTTGAGTATTTGAAGGGCTGTCACTTAGAGGAGGGCAGGGAGGTGTTCCTGTGGGCAGCAGAGGAGAGGACTCGCAATAGGGGGGTTTAAATTATGGGTAAAAAGACACCAGCTGGATATTAGGACATTTTTGTTTACAGTATGAATAGTTCAGCAGTGGAATTGGCTGCTTAAGAGGGTGGTGAGCAGTAGCTGGACAAACACGTCAGGGATGCTCTCCGGTGGTAGGCAAACTGCGGCTCTAGAGCCACATGCGGCTCTTTGGCCCCTTGAGTGTGGCTCTTCCGCTCTGTGATTCTAATCTAGGCAAAGAGCTGTGTCATTGGTTCAGATCTCATCTCTGCCACAGACTCAACAGATGGCCTTGGGCAAGTCACTCTCTTCCCCTCAGTCTCTGGTCTACAAGAGAGGGATAATACTGGCCTGCATTGCAGGGCCGTTGTGACAATGCACGCAGACACTGGAAAGGGTTAAGTTGGGAGTAAGCCGTGAAGTGGCTAAATTTGCAGACGATACAAAGTTGTTCAGGGTGGTGAAAACCAGGGAGGATTGTGAGACACTCCAAAGGGATCTGTCGAGGATGGGTGAGTGGGCGTCAATGTGGCAAATGGGGTTCAGTGTAAGGTGATGCACATTGGAGCCAAAAATCCAAACTATAAATACATGTTGATGGGGTCCGAACTGGCAGAGACTGACCAAGAGAGGGATCTTGGAGTCGTAGCAGATAACTCACTGAAAATGTCGAGACAGTGTGCGACTGCAATGAAAAAGGCCAATGCTATGCTGGGGGTTATTAGGGAGGGTATTGAAAACAGATCAGCCAATATCATAATGCCCCTGTATAAATCAATGGTGCAACCTCATTTGGAATACTGTGTACAGTTCTGATTACCACACCTTAAAAAGGGTATTATAGCTTTGGAAAAAGTGCAGAAAAGGGCAACTAGAATGATAAAAGGGTTGGAACACTTTCCCTAGGAGGAAAGGTTAAAGCGCCTGGGGCTCTTTAGCTTGGAGAAACGACGGCTGAGGGGTGACATGATTGAGGTTTATAAGATTATGCATGGGAAAGAGCAGGTAGAGAAAGAGGTACTTTTCTCCCTTTCTCACAACACAAGAACTCGTGGGCACTCCATGAAATTGCTGAGCAATCGGGTTAGAACGGATAAAAGGAAGGACTTCTTCACCCAAAGAGTGATTAACACATGGAATTCACTGCCACAGGAAGTGGCGGTGGCTACAAGCATGGATGGTTTCAAGAGGGAATTAGATAAGCATATGGAGCGGAGGTCCATCGGTGGCTATTAGCCACAAGGTATGGATAGGGACTTCAGGGTAAGTGATGCTCTGTATTCTTGGTGCTGGGGGGGGGGCTAACAGTGGGTGGGCTTCTAGTGTCCTGGCCCCACTGCTGGACCTCCTGATGGCACCTGGTATTTTTCGCCACTGTGTGACCCAGAGTGTTGGACTGGATGGGCCTTTGGACTGATCCAAAATTGGCTTCTCGTATGTTCTTTCGTTGCACAGGTGCAAAATGGTATCTTTGTTTCATTCTACCCTCCAAGGAGGTGGGGGCATTCGTCCCTCCTCCATTTTATCCTCGCAAGAGGCCTGTGAGGCAGGTGTGGCTGAAGAGAGTGAGTGACTGGCCTGAGGTCACCCAGTCGTGTGAATCAGGATGTCACTTTAAATCCGGCACGCTAACGGCTATGCCATGCTGTCTGCAAGACCAGTTCTGGAATCCTTAAGTGCTGCCTTGCACAGGTGAATGGTCTTCGTTGTGATGTCCTGTGGGGTGGGGAAGTCTCCTGGGAACCTGCTCCTCCAGGGACGCGGGGATTTCTGGGACTGCAGAGGCTCCAAAACTTGCATGACACGGATTCCGCAGGAGCCTCTCAAGCTGAATCAAACCCATGGTCCATCAAAGCCAGTTTTGTCTACTCAGACTGGGTCTCTGGCGGAGGTCTTCTACATCACCTACCACCTCATCCTTTAGTCTGGAGATGCTGGGATTGAACCTGGAACCAGAGGTCATTTCGGGGGGGATCGCAGTTCCCCCGGGTGAGGTACGGGGGGCGGGGCACATGACGAAGCCCCGCCCCCTGCTTCCAGCCACCCCGCTTCCGGCCCTCATTCAGCCAGGAGGAGGCAGGAGAAGAGGGAGGGTAAGTTGGGCCTTATGACACACTTCCGGTGATGTCAGGGGGCGTGGCCTTATGACACACTTCCGGTGATGTCAGGGGGCGTGGCCTTATGACACACTTCCGGTGATGTCAGGGGGCGTGGCCTTATGACACACTTCCGGTGATGTCAGGGGGCGTGGCCTTATGACACACTTCCGGTGATGTCAGGGGGCGTGGCCTTATGACACACTTCCGGTGATGTCAGGGGGTGTGGTATATGCTAATGAGTTATGTTAATGAGTTCCCCTAGCTCTTTTTCTACGAAACGACCCCTGCCTGGAACCTTCCGCGTGCCAAGCAGATGTCCTGCCACTGAGCCATGGCCTTCCCCAAGATTGCAGTGTCTGTGGATTGATCATATAATAAACTTCATATAATCACCATTACTGGGCATAGTTAGGAGACTGTTATCTTGTCTCGGCTCTAAATGTGCAGGAACAGGACGGTCTTTCCTGTCTGGTAAGAGGGATGAAAGACATTGATCGTTTCGTGTAGCTCTGCCTGTGAACCTTCCAGAGAGGAAGGCAGTGCCGAACCAGATCTCTCGATCCTATTAGATCATTTTCCTTATAGAAGCTATCGGCCGAGCCTTGGTTCCATCCGGGGCTGTTCTCTGGAGCCGGGCAAGTGTCTCCGCTGGAACTTGACCAATAATGAAGCGGTTCTCTGAGCAGAGGAAGGTATTTCAGCCAGCCTCCACGCCTTTGGGATTAAAGGCTGTCTCCTTCAAGTTGCTTGCTTTTGAGGCCTCTCCGCCTCCTCCCTCCCCTTCTAAATGATGTCAGCAGACCAAATTTGTTTCAAGAGGAGCCTCTGCTATGTCAGTTGGGCTTCCCTGGCTAACTTTCCTGCATTGCAGCAGGGGCTAACAAAGTGTGCAAGATTTTATGGGCTCCCCAGAACTCTTCTTTGGACTGGATGTTAAACAAAAGTGCAGGGGCTTGCGCGATGCCCTGTTAAGGAGACTGCAGAGGTGTTGCAGTATAATGGAGGCGGTTGTTTTGCCAACTTCGTTAGGCTGTATTGTGCCGGGCGCAAAAGGACCTTGGATGCGGCAAGGCAAGGCAATTGGAGGGACTTATCTGCTTCCAGGGCCGAGCCCCAGTTGAAAGAGCAGACTCCTTCACCCAGTGCAGATTAACTGGCTGACGGGTGGAATATCCATGTTAAAATTAATCAATAGATGCCAAATTGGGCAGACTTGCTTAATAGGTGAAGGACATATTTCTCCTCCACTGCCAAGAGAATGCCATTCAGAATCTTCCCCTGTGGCTGATGAATGAAGGTCTGGATTCTTTGAAGTTCTTCCTCCATTTCTAAAAAGCTACACGTGAATGCACTTTTCCGGGGGGTCGTGGTGTGGCTCGAGGGTCGGACTCAGCCTGGGGAGGGGCCAGGCTCATCCATGAAGCTCGTGGGGTGACCGTGGTCCAGTTCTCTCTCAGCTTAACCTACCTCACAGGGTTGTAGTGAGGATAAAATGGACTCATGCTGATAGGAACTGCTTGGAGGAAAGGCAGTCTGGAAATGGGATGGAATCCGCCAGAGGAGATAAAACTCATAGGGAGCTGTGTTGGATGACATGGCTTTGGAAAGGAGGGTTTTGAATCACAGGCTAACCAAAGCAGCCCAGGAAAAGAGGAAGAGTCCAGTAGCACCTGAAAGACTAACACAATTTGTGGCAGGGCATGAGCTTTCATGAGTCACTGCTCACTTCTTCAGATACAGCTAGAATGTGAATCCATCTGTCCTTATATCTTGGAGAGTAAAGTGGTTTTAGATGCCGAATGACAACAGTAGGTGAATGACAATAACAGGCGCGATTGGATTAGGTGTGAAATGCAGAGGGTTGTGGGTGTGGAGAAATCAGCATTGGTAATGGGACGAGAAACCTAAGTCTTGATTCAGTCCAGGGGGATGCATTGTCTGAGCTTCATTATCAGTTGCAACTCAGCGGTCTCTCTTTCTAATCTCCCTTTGAAATTCTTTTGTAAGAGAAGAAGCCCAAGCAGAGGCCAAAAGACAGGAGCCCTTGTTGCAGAATGCGGCTTCTCCTGACCTCTGTCCAGTTATCCTTTAACTAAACTGGGGAGAAGGCAGATAGCAACGTGCGTTTTCTGCAACAAGGAATGAGTAACTTTCAGTCTGGGGCTTCGTAATGGAACGGAGAGTGA